ATGTGGTATATGAACAGAACAGAAGAACTAATTACAGACTTTAGAATCGAACAGGTAAACCTAAGAATGAATAAATATTCGAGTAGATCAATACTATATTAACAATACAATACTTAGATTCTCGAACTGAAAAAAAACTGGACCAAATTCAAACGATCGCTGCTCCAGCATTTTCTACGACAGACTTCTTCTCGTAAGTGTGATTATATAAATTATTTGGAGTCATCTTAATCAACTCTTTTTTTTTAAAGGTCTTGCATGAAAAAATGTTCTCACCCTTGGCGAAAGCCATTGAACATTTTGATGTCATGCTTGCTAATAAAAACCAAAGTCTGGTAAAGTCACCTTCTGTCACTATTGCCCTCTCCTTGGTGATCCCTGGGATTAATGTAAGAATAATGACAGGGATTGAGAGAGTTTCACATATTAACATTTATATTTAGGACAATGCTGATTTCACAATTTCAGAAGTTATAGATTTCATGGCATTGCAAGGTCACACGGACGAAAAAAGTATGACTTACGTGAAAAACCGTATCTTGGGTAAGCTGAATTAAAAGGTTCACAGTAAAGGAAGGATTATGTTTTTCTGACCGGGTTCCCAAAATATAGAATTATCCAAAAGCAACAAGTTGGCTGACTTTAGCTTCACGCCCAAGTCGGCTGGTATGCCTTCTGATGCTGACGTAAGTATATAGTGTCTTTTTAATGATGAGTTTGGTTTTTTAATTGTTATATTACAGATTATATTGCATGTGTTAGAGGTCTACTTAAGCCTTAAGGAACCCATGGCAATTCCCCCACTTGTGCCTGTAAGTAATCTAATAATAATCTATACGCAATATTCTAATTTTCAATTTTAGCCCCCGATCAACGTGTTTAAGTACATTCTAACATATGTATCTAACCCCAGAGTAAGTTATTTATTCGGTATGAAGTACAACATGTTTTGACTGATTATTTTTTATTAGGTTGGAGCACTGGGAGATCTTTGCAAAGGCCAATTAAAAAGAATCAAATAAAATAAAAACAAATCAATCTCTATAACCAGCTACTGTCATTTACATTTTTATATCTTTGATATCATTACAGCCATACGAAAGTGAGAGTCCGTATATTTACACTTCAGAGGCATACGCGAAAGATGCTAGATGCGTTTTAGATTGCCTTGAATCAAACCTTCTTTCGATATCAATTCGCATAATCGCCTAGCAAAAATCACGCATTGTATTTGATAGATAAAATAGTTTTGGGTTTGTAGCAGTCATAAAGAAGGGGCCACTTTATCTAGTGAAGCTGCAAATGTATGGTGCAACTTGAGTTGTGGATCATCACCAGTAAATGTGTTTGATGAGTATGTATGCTTCCTAGTAAAAAGATCATATGGTGATGCGTGCGGACATTCAACCACATGCCAAAAAAAAAAAGTACGAAGCAGACGTACAGCTAGTGAAAATACACGGAATCCAGAGGATTTATCACAAAGAATTTCAGTGTGAGTAATAAGAAGATTGTTGTATGTCATCCATTGAATTTTCATCAAGTATCAAATTTGAAGTCCATCACATAAAAAAAAAAAAAAATTGAAATCACCACCAATTAAAATGAATATGTATGGATGTTGAATTATAAATTCTAATGCTTCTAGCAGTAGGTCAAGGTTTTGGCAAGGATCTAGAGACGCATAAATGCTACAGTAGAGAGTATAATTAAACGTGACAGTCGACACACTTACAGAGGAGGAGGAGGAGGAGGAGGAGTTATTACTGTTAAAAGCCTTGTTGAAAAAGTATGATCTCCTAATATGGAGCTAGAGACGTAACAGCAACTGCCTATGGGCTTACGTACACCATCTATACAATTAACAGCCGAAACCAATTTACAACCGGGAATTTCAAATTTATCTGTTGGTAATGTCCATGTTTCATTGAAGAGGAATACATCAAATGATAGATATACGGGATCGTTGACGATCTGATCCAAGTGTACCTGGAGACTTTGTACATTATGCTGATCATAGCCATACAATTTTTCTTTTCATTTTTCCAATACTCAGAAGATGAAAGAACTCCCGAAAACGTCTTGAATGCTTGATCCCGGTTTAAAAGCCTTGTGACATAATCTTCGTTCGCAACATCCTTAGCTATAGAAGGGACACCATCACTTGCAGCATTTCCTCGTTTTCTCAAAATGGTATTTATATTAGAACTCATTTTGGTGAGCAGAACTTTTCGATCCATGTACGCATGGAAGCTCTTCCACATTTTAGCAAAGTAACTCTTGTGTGACCATGCAAGAACGTACTCGTTACACACACACTGCAAAAATGAACAGTAACGTTTTTTTTTTTTTTTTTTTTTTTAAAAAAAAATAGAATAAACACGCTTTTAAATTTTTCTTCTTTTTTTATACATATAACTCGTTATGCCTTACACGTCCTATAACGCTTGTATTGTGCAAACTAATGGTGCAGTATTACTGGCCATGGTCATACTCAATTATTTGATCTTCTCTTTTAACATTTGGTCTCTCACATATATCTTCGACGCGATGTTAATTCAATGTTTAGGTAAGAGTATGAATAATTGAATTACTAAAGCGTGTTTCTAATCAAAGCCCATTTAGAAATATTGCTTTCTCTTCTTTGCATTTACAATATTTGGTCAATTTACAAAGGAACGATCAACTCATTCATTGCTAAAGTTAAGGTTCCTTATGATGTTTATTTTTTCAGTAAGTAGCAACATTGAGAAAGTAACTTTTTTTTATTAAACATTACTGCCCCAGAACCTGGACCTCTCTCAACAAACTTCTTTAAAACAGCACATTCAGTGTTATATGGTAATATACGTTGAATGATTAGACATATTTTTATTAAAAAGACTAAAATATTCATGTACGTATAGAATTCTTATTGGGAAAACAACCTGTTCGACCCAATATGCCTACACCCGCTGCAAAGGGACAACAATCAAAACATATGTTTGCGGACTTTTTAAACTTCATTAAGAAGAAAGTCGTTAATCCCATTTCAGCCGCCCCCAGTATTCCTGCTCCCAGTACTTCTGTTCCCAGTCGCACAACCTCTTGTACGCCAAGCCTTACCAGAATTTTTAAGACAGGATTCAACTCTTCTTTAGACATCTCACCACAGACAGTCTTTTCCTCTTTATCGAATTTGGTAGCTGCCAAAAGCGGTACATTTAAAATCGCAGCACCCAAGCTTAAATTTGTACCATGCATCAAGCCCCCTCTTCGGCCATCTGCCCATAGACACCGCATTATGTGGTATATGAACAGAACAGAAGACGTAATTGCCGACTTTCGAATCGAACAGGTAAACACAAGAATGAATAAATATTCGAGTAGATCAATAATATATTAACAATACAATACTTAGATTCTCGAACTGAAGAAAAATTGGACCAAATTCAACGATCGCTGCTCCATCATTTTCTATGACAGACTTCTTCTCGTAAGTATGATTGGGTAAATTATTTGGAGACAAGTTAATCAACTCTTTTTTTTGAAGGTCTTGTACGAAAAAATGTTCTTACCCTTGGCAAAAGCCATTGAACACTTTGATGTTGTTCTTGGTAAAAAGAACCAAAGCCTGGTGAATTCACCTTCTGTCAGTATTGCCCTCTCCTTGGTGATCCCTGGGTTTAATGTAAGAATAATGACATGGATTGAGAGAGTTTGACATATTAACATTTATATTTTAGGACAATGCGGATTTCACAGTGTCTGAAGTTGTGGATTTTTTAGCATTACAAGGTCACACTGATAAAGAAAGTATGACTTACGTCAAAAACCGAATCTTGGGTAAGCTGAATTAAAATGTTCGCAGTAAAGAAAGGATTATGTTTTTCTGATCGGGTTCCCAAAATATAGATTTATCCAAAAGCAACAAGTTGGCTAGCTTCCGCTACACCCCCAAGTCGGCCGGTATGCCTTCAGATGCTGATGTAAGTCTATAGTGTCTTTTTAATGATGATTTTGGTTTTTTAATTATGATATTGCAGATCATGTTGCATGTGTTGGAGGTTTATTTAAGCCTCAAGGAACCTATGGCCATTCCCCCGCTTGTGCCTGTAAGTAATCTAATAACAATCTATACGCAATATTCTAATTTTTAATTTTAGCCCCCCATTAACGTGTTTAAGTACCTTTTAACATACGTATATCTGACGCCAGAGTAAGTTATTTATTCGGTATTAAGTACAATATGGTTTGACTGATTATTTTTTATTAGATTGGAGCACTGGGAGATCTTCGAAAAGGCGAATTAAAAATAATTAAATAAAACAAAAAACAAAACAAAAAACAAAACAAAAAGCAATCAATTTCTATAACCAGCTACTGTCATTTACATTTTTATATATTTATATCATTACAGCCATACGAAAACGAGAGTCCGTATATTTAAACTTCAGAGGCAAACGCGAAAGATGCTAGATGCGGTTTAGATTGCCTTGAATCAAACCTTTTATCGATATCAATTCGCATAATCGCCTAGCAAAAATCACGCATTGTATTTGATAGATAGAATAGTTTTGGGTTTGTATCAGTCATAAAGAATGGGCCACTTTATCTAGTAAAGCTGCAACTGTATGGTGCAACTTGAGTTCTGGATCATCACCAGGAAATGTGTTTGATGAGTATGTATGCTTCCTAGTAAAAAGATCATATGGCCATGCGTGCGGACATTCAACCACATTCGAAAAAAAAAAAAAAAAGTACGAAGCAGACGTACAGCTAGTGAAAATACACGGAATCCAGAGGATTTATCACGAAAAATTTCAGTGTGAGTAATAAGGAGATTGTTGTATGTTATCCATTGAATTTTCATCAAGTGTCAAATTTGAAGTCCTTCACATAAAAAAACATGGCTCTTCCCGATAACAACCAGAACCCAAATTTGGACTACGGTCCTTCACGCCCACCACGCCCGCTATGGTCCTGTATTGCAGCAACAACTAAAACATCATTGATTTTCAATGAGGACAGTAATACCGTCGATGAAGATTGTTACACTATTATCAAGTCTCTCGTGTTTCGAGTCGGTTGAACCGAAGGTAGCATTATGTTCGATGTTACATCTCGTCCAGAATCCCAACGAATTTTTTTTGAAGATTATTGCAACCCGATTCCTAACTCGATGGGGTGTCGGTTTTCACATGGAAGGTAATCGTAAGATTATCGAAGTTCAACTTTTAAAAGCGGAAAAACGACAGCATGCTTTGGAACATGGCATGTTATTTCCCCAAGATAATGTGTATATTCTGCCTACACCAGCTTTAGACGACGATGCTAAAATTATCCGTTTAAATCCCCTTTTGCCACGAGGAAGAAATCTTATATGGATTAAGAAAAAGCTTTAACATCTTTGGCCGTATTGTTGATGTAGGAGTCTCACTTGATAAAGAATTTGGGTCCTACGTCGAACAAGGATATGCGGTCATTGACACTTACCAATCTGCCGAAGCTGATATTACGTATGCTTTACTGACGCACAATGTTCCTTGTGTAATAGCACGGAGCATCTGCGACATGCATGTCCGTTCAAAAAGCATCGTCGAACAACAACTTCACCAACGTTTTCCGACTACATTATATATCCTTACAAGAAACTCACACACACAATGATACTCTCAGTACATCAATCGAACAACAATTTTTCACTCAATCAGCCTTATGGACTGATCATTGTGGTATTATTTCTCTTCATCCTGACATTTTACTCACCCAGGTGGATACCCCAATTTTAGGCTTTCCGTCTACTCTAAATTTATTTTTTTAAAGTTTGATCATTTACTCCCTCTCCCAGTGGCCTCCAACTTTCTCTTTTTCCTTTATCTGCTTCTATACATACATCGCTTCTATTTTTCTTTTTTAATCTATCTCCTTCTCCCCATATTGTCCACTTTGGGAACATACGTGCATGACAACCACAGTATAACATATTTTTTTTTTGTATATAAATCATCTTTTTTTAACTTTTTAACATTGAAGCCTTCAAAAACTCACATTGCGGGACAAACGAGGTTTTTTATCTTGTAAATACGGGAGTACATTCTCCAGTTGAATATTATCTCTTTTGGATAATTTGTATTAAAGGGAGAGAAAGAGAGAGGTTTAAGGTTTAGAGTTAACCTTTGGGGAACACAACGAGCTACATACACTACGACCAAGCGTGCGTCAAAAACAAAAGGGACGCGCGCTTTGATGTCAAATGTAAAAAAAAACAAAGGAATCATCATTCATGTAATCTAATCAAGATGTACTTTAATCTTTAAACTTATCTAATCATTTTATAAAATCAAAGGAGGAAATATTATCTAATCACAAGTTGACAAGTAAATCCCTTTTGTCTCCAGAAAGGTAAACAATGCAATTGACGTAAAATGATCCAATAGGGTAGCTGTGTTTCATTTTTCAAAAGTTTTTTTTTTTTCCTTTCCCGCGCGTAATGGTAACCTTTAAAAATATTATTCCCTGCCTTTTCTCTCTTTTTTAAATAATATCACACACACATTTTTTTAAAAAAAAATGGTGAATAAAGCAACTGTAAAGAACGTCTTGTCTGGAGATACCGTTATTTTAAGAGGAAAGCCTAGAGCCAACGGACCTCCTCCCGAAAGACTTTTAGCTTTGTCTAATGTTCAGGCACCGAGATTAGGCAACACCACTCGTTCTGATGAAGTAAGTTTATTTTTATAGATCATCTTGAAACTTTTTTTTAAAAAGACTCATCATCTATTTAGCCTTTTGGGTATGCCGCACGAGAGTTTTTGAGAAAGTTAGTGGTTGGTAAGGAAGTCTCGTTTGTATCTGATTATACAGTCCCCACCACACAACGCGAATATGGTAGCTTGTATTTACCCAACGGTGATAACGTGGCTGAATTAGGCGTGAAAGCTGGTTGGCTTAAAGTCCGTGAAGGTGGTAAAACCACACGTGAAGATCAAGAAGAAGTCTTGGACAAGTTGGAGTTATTGCAATCGGAAGCTCAAGCTGCTGGTCTTGGTATGTGGGACTCCTCTGAAAAGGTAAGTTTTTTGCATAAAATTAAATGTTTACATGTGTTTAACCAAGTAATGCATTTTTCGTTTTTTTTTCTTAATAAAAAAAGGGTACGCGTGAGGTTTCCTTTTCATTTGAACGTGATGCACAAGCCTTTTTGAACAAGTACAAGGGAAAGCCTTTGGATGGTAAGTTGTGTGTGTATATATGAGAGAAGGGTGAAAAGCTAAAAAAAAAAATGCCACCTTTTTTTTTTATGTAGCTGTGATTGAACAAGTACGTGATGGTGCTACATTCCGTGTTTTATTGATTTTACCCGACGCTACCCAACAATTCATTACATTATACCTTAGCGGTATTAAAGCTCCTGCCTGTAAAAGAGACAATGACGACCAATCCGTTTCAGAACCCTTTGGAGAAGAATGCAAGTTCTTTGTCGAATCACGTCTTTTACAACGTGGTGTCAAGGTGATTTTAGAAGGTGTATCACAATCAGGTGGACAAAATTTTATTGGTTCTGTTCAACATCCTGCTGGTAACATTGCTGAATTATTACTTTCACAAGGTTTAGCCAAGTGTGTTGATTGGAGTATCACCATGGCTACTTGTGGTCCCGCTCCTTTACGTCAAGCAGAAAAATCCGCCAAGGAGAAAAAACTTCGTATTTGGCGTGATTTCGTTGCTAAAAAAGTCGATACCAATGCTACCGAATTTGATGCTACCGTTGTACGTATTGTGACGGGTGATACGATTATTGTAAAGACCAAAGCCGGTGTTGAAAAGAAAATTCAATTAGCCAGTGTGAAACAAGCCCCTCGTGGTACAGGATCCACTGCCCCTAACAACTCCAAATCAAGAGATATCAAGGAAGTAGGTTATCAATTTGAAGCCAGAGAATTCTTGCGTAAAAAGTTGATTGGTAAACCCGTGCATGTCACAATTGATTATCATAAGCCTGCTCAAGATGGGTTTGAAGCCAAGGATTGTGCTACTGTCATTGCTAGTAATCACAATATCGCAGAACAACTCATTGTACGTGGTCTCGCTACTGCTATTCGTCATCGTAAGGATGATGATAACCGTTCACATTGTTATGATCAACTTCTTGTTGCAGAAAGAAAGGCAGAGGAAGAAAAGAAGGGTTTACATAGTCCCAAGGAACAACCCGTTGTGCGTATTGTAGATGCCTCTGAAAATGCCGCCAAGTCACGTCAATTCTTGACCTTTTTAAAGCGTAGTGGTAAAGTGCATGCCGTAGTGGATTTCGTGGCCAATGGTTCTCGTATGTTTGTTTGGGTACCCAAGGAAAACTGTCGTTTGACCTTTGTCTTGTCTGGTGTTCGTGCTCCTCGTGTCGGTCGTACACCCAATGATAAATCCGAACCCTTTGGTCAAGAAGCACTTGATTTTGTCTCTCAAAAATGTCTTCAACATGACGTTGAAATTGAGATTGAAAATGTGGATAAAATTGGTAGCTTTGTGGGTTCTCTCTTTGTCAATGGTGAAAATTTAGCTGTGGCTCTTTTATCCCGTGGTTTAGCTACCATTCATGAATACTCTGCAGATGAATCTCATTATGTAAACCAATTATATGGTGCAGAACGTGATGCCAAGACTGAAAAGAAAGGTATCTGGTCCACCTATAAGCCTGAAGAAGAAGAAGAACAAGTGGCTCAAGACCAAGCTTCTTCTGCTGCTGGTCCTCACCGTGAATACATTGATATCGTTGTCTCGGATATCATCAGTGGTTCTCATTTCTATGTTCAAAAGGTCACAGATGAAATTGCTAAATTAGAAACCGTCATGTCTGAATTAGGTCAATATCAAAACGGTCGTCCTGCTGACCCCACTTTTAAAGCACGTGTAGGTGAAAATGTCAGTGCTAAATTCACTGAAGATGATTGTTGGTACAGAGCCAGAGTCAAGCGTATCTCTCATGAAGGCATTGAAGTCTTTTACATTGATTTCGGTAATTCAGAGACCTTGTCTAGTTCTCGTGTGCGTTCTTTACCCGAAAACTTTAAGCAATTAAAAGCACAAGCACACGAAGCCACTTTATCATTTGTCAAATCACCCGAGGTCAATGAAGATTATGGTATTGAGGCTTTGGAACGTTTCCGAGATCTCACGGGTAATAAGCAGTTGGTGGCTAACGTGGATGCGCGTGATGGCAACGTGCTCTGTCTCACCATTTTTGATTTCCGTAAATCCACCAGTGCAGAAGATAGTGTTAATTTGGATATGGTCAAGGACGGTCAAGCTTATGTGACCCCCAAGGTGCGTTATGCTCGTGGTAATGAAACTATTTTGAAAACATTGCAAGAGGCACAAGAGGAAGCTATTAAGCGTAGACGTGGTATGTTTGAGTATGGCGATATCACCGGTAACGAAGATGTCACCAGCACACATTATTAATTAAATATATATATGTATACACTTTTTTGCAATAATAATAAAAAAAAAAAAAATCACAGAATTTTATGTAAAAAAAAAAAAACTATTGGAAACATAAATTAAACTTTTCGGCAACCGCTTTCGTACTAGCACTGGCAAATCCTGTACCCTCAGGACTCATATCAATAATGTCTTTTGTTTTCGTCTTTTGTTCACAGACATAACATGTCTTTGACTTTTTAACAAATTTATCAATGCATCCATTACACATTACATGCCCGCAATTACGTAATACTACAGCAAAAAAAAAAAGCGCGTTCAATTAGCATACACACACACCTTTTTTTAGTGCCAATCCCATTTACCAGATAATTTGGATGCGTTGGTCAATGTCTTTAAACAAGCAGGACACACATTACCGTCCTTTTTCGTGCCTTCTTCCTTTTGAAATTTCACAGTGATGAGTGATTTGATACTAAAAAAAAAGTGAGGGATTTTTGTAGTCAATGTAAAAAAAAGTTATTTTCCTCTCTCTATAAAGATTTACCTAAGGGGATGAGCCTTTTCAACTGCACTACACAAGACTTGTGTCTTGACAGGTTTCAAAGCAGAAGCATCTGCTGCTGGCGTAACAGAAGGCTACACATATAAACCGTCAGTTTCTACTACTACACGAACAAAAAAAAAAAAAAAAAAAAACTCATTTTTTTTACCACCCAAAAGGAACCGATCTTTGGTTTAGCAGCTTCTTCCTTTTCCTGCTTCAATTGAAGAGCAGTTTCATCAATGGCCTGTTCATTCAATGTACGTTTCTCCTCGTCCTCTTTTTCTTCCAATCTTTTACGCTTTTTGCTATCGACGGGTACTTGACGGTTACCCAACATACTATTTTGAGTCTTATCAAAAGTATCCAGAATGACACGTTGAGCTTCTAAATCCGAAAGTTGCTTTTGGGCTTGTTTCTCTTGAGTTTGTTGATCCAATGTACGTTGTTGATGAGCGATCGATTGCTTTTGTTGTAAAATGGATTCATACATGCATTCTTGACAAGCTAAATGACCTTGACCACAACATACGGGATCCCTGGCTGTTTGAAGGCAGAGGAAACATGCATCGTAGTTTTTATATGAATCACGTCCTAAACGTTGCTATATAGAATAAACTTTTTTTAATAGGTGTGATCTTGTTTCTATCATCAATTAAGGACAACAAAAGTTTACTCTTTTGGTACCGTATTCAAGGGTATGAGATTCATGGTATGTGAATACACTTGAAGCTGTATTGTTCTTGGAATGGCGAGGCATGGTTTGATAAAAAGAAAAAAAAAAGAAAAAGGGTTTCGTTTTTCCCTCCTTCTATCTGCCCACACACACACACACTTTTTTTTGTGACTAGATGCACCCAGACTGGATAATGAAGGCGTGCACCAAAAAATCGAGAGAACTCTTTCTTTTTCTTTTAATACAATAATCATGGGAGATCATAAACACAAAAAGTCTTCAAAGAAGGACCACAAAGACTCGAGTAGCCGAGACCATAAACGTCACAAGAAGAGCAGCAGCAGTAAGAAAGAAAAGGAAATCGATTATTCTGATCCTTCACTTTGGGTGGAAGCTGGCACGAATTTAGAAATTACACCTGCTGAGCATCTTCGAAACGTGCAACAAGCAGAGACATCCATAGACCACGCTACGGAAATTGCTTTACCGAAAGAAGAAGAGGCAAGACATGGTTGGATGTTGGACGGTGGTATGGATTTTGGTGCCATGGGTGTAGCTCGAGTCAAAGAAGAAGACAAACCAAAACCTAATCCTGATTTCGTAAGCCAAACCTCTTTTTTTCTCTCTCTCTTTTCCATGCACTAACCATTAGTATCGGTAGCCTAAAGTGAGTGAACGTGAATTAAACCAACATTTAGTCAAGGGCATCAAATTCGATGAATATCCTGAAGAAAAAAAAAAGGAAATCAAATTTGGTGACGCTGGTTCCAATTGGAGAATGATGAAATTAAAACGTGCCAAAGAACAAGCAGAAGACGAAGGTCGATCTTTACAAGAAGTCGGTATCGAGAAATATGGTGTAAGTCTTTTTTTTTTAATGCATAAATAACCTGTTTCGATTGACATACGAATTTATTTTTTTTAAAAAAAAAAAGTCGGCAGAGAAATTTCAAGAGGCTTTGCAGGAAAGAGAGTATTTAGATAATAAACGAGGTGGAAGAGGTGATGATAGACGGGATAGATCTAGAAGAGATGGTAGACGAGACGATAGACGAGACGATAGACGAGATGATAGACGAGATAATAGACGAGATGACAGAAGGGGCGACAGACACGATAATAGACGTGACGATAATAGACGTGATGATGATCGTCCTAGAGAATCATCTCGCAAATACATGTTTACAAATACAGACTCACAACAACAAAATGCATTTAAACGTCCCGAACCACCCAAGCGTCGATCCCCTTCACCCACAAAAGCAGCACCCACACCTACACCTACACCCGTATTTCAATCCATCATTCCTCAGAGCACGGCACCTTATATAGAAGCACTTACACGTGACCAACTCAACAAACTAAACGCCAAACTCATGAAAGCAAAACTCATGGGTATGGGCAATATAGAAGAGCTTGAAAAAGAGTATGAAGCGGAACTAGATAAATTTGAACAAGCAGAGGCTTTGGGTGTGACAGTATTACCTTCTCTCGATAACGAAGGTCGATTATACGATTATGCATTAAAACAAGGGGACCAAGCTCATGAAGCACTCAAGGGAAAGAAAAAATATGAAGGCACCCATGATAAAATTACAGGTGAACGTGTACGTTATGGTACCTCGGACGATACATTGTCCTTGGCTGAAATGGTACGACAGGAAAAGGGAGGTAGTCGTTCATCGAATATGGATATGGAATTCGCCAATCGTATTATGGCAGATGCTACCTTTGAAAATAGCAATGATTACATGGATGATAAAGCAGATATTATGGCTTCCAAAAAGGGTGTGACAGAAGAGCAAAAGATGAGACGTGCTGTCACAGGTATATAGTAAAAGAAAGCTTTAAGAAAATGAAGGGTTGATATAATCTAACGATGTCTCCTATACATACACATAGATTACAAGCGAACTCAAGATGTGTTGAGTAAATGTAGATTTTGTTATCATGATAGCGCTCCTCCTCAAGTTGCCATGATTTCACTTGGAACCACATGTTATTTAGCTTTACCCAATGTTCAAGAACTCACACCGGGAAATTGTTTAATTGTACCTATTCAACATGTTTCTTCCACTTTAGAATGTGATGATGATGTATGGACCGAGATTCGAGTAAGTCACACAAGGGCATACCCACAGGGTTTTTTTTTTTGTAAGTATCCAATACTAAACCCCTCTTCTCCTGATGATAGAACTTTCAAAAATGTCTATTAAAAATGTTTCATGAGCAAGGGAAAGGTGTAGTTTTCATGGAAACCGTCACCAACATTCGATCTCAACGACACACCGTCATCGAAGCCATACCTATACCTTATGGTGTATACGAAGATGCCCCCGCCTATTTCCGTGAAGCCATTATGGCCAGTGGAGAAGAATGGTCTCAACATAAAAAATTGATTGAAACATCCCCTACGCGTGGATTCAGAAACTCTCTTGTGAAAAATTTGCCTTATTTCCATGTTTGGTTTGGGTTGGAAAAAGGGTATGGTCATGTCATTGAAAATGCAAAGGAGTTTCCTCATTGGTTTGGTAAGGAAGTGATTGCGGGTATGATGGATATCGGTCCTGAGTTATGGCGTAAACCAAGGTATCATCATCAGGCTGAAAATCATCAACGTCAGCAAGAGTTTTTAAAGTCTTGGGAGAAATGGGATTGGACCGCTGCCTTGTAGTTTTGTATAACATTTTAAAAAAAAATAAACCGGCATTCCTCGTTTTTACATGACACACGAAAGTGTAATTCACAGTTGATAGTCCGTAACTTTCTTCAATACATGGAAACTTATATATCCATCTTACACATCGTGTAAGACATCATCATTGATATAGTTCCTGTTACAAATCAGGTGTCTCTGATATAATAAAAAAAAGTATGGTACTATGACATATCATAGCTATTCTAGCAGCATCAGAGATTTCATCTTTTCATATAGAGCTGTAGCTGTAATTGATGTATCTAAACCAGGTACGACAAAGATTGGCCGTGATTTACAGTGCATGTGTAACACTACATGGCCTTTACGGCGAGACCTTCCAAACGATTTTGATTCCCCATCATAGAGAAATAAATCGTTCGTCCAAAAAGTGCAAGGCTAACTCTCGTGTGTGTTCTGCACTTTGAGCCACTTCTCAAAAACGAAAACTTAATCCACAAAATGATATATGCTTGTTGGCGTTTTGGAAATACGTTGGCTGAACTTTTTTTTTTTTTTTGTGGTACAAATGACGCCAAAAAACTGTCTGAACGGTCTCGCCGTGAAAAGCTTATGAATTAAAAATTGAAGATACTCCCTATAGACGCGTCATCTATACACTGTCGTGCGACCTATGTAAGACACATAAAACATGGGCTTTCGTTTGCTTTTGTTTTGTTTTCTGCTTTTCCTCTCGTGAAACTTGATTTAAAGAAATGGATGAAGAGTTTAACTACTCTCGGAATACATTCTGCCTTGTTTTCGGTAATAAATAAAGAAACAACTTGGTGATTTATGACATTGATACTGACCTGAATAAGCTCTCGACCAGGGCTTCCTCTACACTAAAGCACTTGATACGGACGGTTACTTTGAACCCGCTTGGAGCAGCAGGTAGGACTAAGATTGTAACAACATAAGAGAATTTTGTTCTCACAAAGATAGTGTCTGAAAAAAAGAGATCTATCAAAATATCCCCCTTCATTTGTATATGACACCGCCAGCAAAACCGTTATAGCTGAAGGTGACGCAACTGATGAATTTATGAGAAAAATCGAGAAACCTCAAGAAAAATTATTCTATGTACCCAACGCTTTTAACGAACTTTATGATACCTATTTGAAACAACAAGAAGAGAACTATGGAGAAAATGAATTATATGACGTTGTTCTCCAGGAGGTGATAAAAATGCTACAAATGCAAGTGGATCATTGGAAAAAAAATAGATTGTTCAGAAGCAGAGTTTTGTTACGCATTTGCTATTCCTACAGGTTGGAATGATAACACCAGAGAGGAGCTTATCCGGCCTCTTTTCGTAAAATCTCGTCTGATTAACGAAGATAATAATGTACGCCAATTGTATGTTTTCAACCAGTTAGAGTTAAATTTCCGTTATCTGCAATCTGGATCTTGGCCCAGCCCCAGTATAACAGCAAAACAAGGTCATCAGTACATCATAATGTATTTGGATTCCAATCAAGAGGTAGATGTCAATCTCAGTTTAAGTTTGGTGTCAGCATGTTATCCAGACTTAAAAACAGTGGATAGCCAATATATCCCTCAGCTATTGAAGGGGTTTGATTTTAAAATACCTTTTGGGTCTCACAAGGTAAAATCGTCATTGACAACATGTCTTGAAAATTTTTGCGATTCCAAACTGGTGCTCGAAATTATTGACCAGATGCTTGAAACCATAAATGAAAAACTGGAAGCGATAAGGGTAAAACTATTTGGGGAAACCAGGTGGAATTCACAAAAATTAATTTCTGTCCATTTTTTTCTTGATTAAAGTTTACAGATCGATTTTCTGTATTATATCGACCCTTTTTAAAAATGGATTTGGAATATTCTTGCGATTCAAAATACAGTATAGAAGAGTTTGAACTCATGCTCCAAAATATTAGATCGTTAACTTTGGAAGATGTTTTTGATGACTGGTTTCATTCTGCTGTGAAAATCATCGAAAATGGAATAAACACTTTGCTTCAGGGCACAAACAATATCAAAGCTAAATCTTTAGTATGCCTTTGTACGGATTATTTCAAAGAAAACAGTATCTTGATAGTAACACGCAAATTAGTCGAAAAATGGGTTAAGACATATGTCGAAAAGCAAGAAAGCCTATACAAATTGATCAGGACTGAAAAAAACTGCAGTTACAATTTTTCTGCAAAAGATAAAATGATGACAGCTGCAATGTTAGTAAGACGCCAAATGGATGATTTTAATATCTACAGAGACCCAATCATATTGCCTAAAGACTCGTTAAATGGACAATATGAAAGAACTTCAAAACCTGTTTATTTTATAAATATTGGTAAATAGATTTTATTTTCATATTTTTTACCGACTGATCTTTTTGTGAAATAGACTTGCTACCTTCACAAAATAAAATTACTCTCACATACGTAGATGAGAAGAGTAGAGTCAAACGGACAGAAAATGTTGACTGGTATGTGTGATATAACTGTAATACAATCTTTTTATATCTGAATGTAAAATAAATCAAATCTACTGTTTCAATTGTAGCAACATACAGCCCTTGGATGCATTTTTCAAACAATCAGAATCATATCAAAGACCGCAGCTCCATATGAATAATAGGTAAAAATATGCAAGAGGAAATGGTTCCAACTATCGACTTTCTTTATATGTATAGACTCAAGAAACATGTAGAAAAAATGTTTGCTGAATATCTTATAATGTACTCAAAATCCGGACAACAAAAAACATCGTCGAGACTAATTCAGCCTAAAAATAAAACAACTTTTGGCAGTTGCTTTGGGATAAAAACTAGCGAAAATTGGCCAAAGGAAATCAGAAATTTCTTTGCCTCCTCAAGCCCACACCTTCTGGAGCAAGTTATGCATAACCTTAAAATGGATGATCTTTTTATGAAGAATAATAGCTCTCATAGTGAGGATACAGATTTACTGCTTACCTCTGATCCTGGTTACATTCTTTTTTTTATCATAGCATACCTGCACAATTTGAACATGTGGTTGGAAAAAGAACTAAATGAAAAATTTAAGAATGGCTGGCGAGACAAAAACGTATGGTACGGTGTATCTATCAACAAACATTTATTGGAAACCGTATTCATGTCGAAAAAAAAAACTCGAAAAATTATTCTATGCAAGTGGGATACTTGCGAACGACAACAATCTTAGGAGGGCAAAATTCTGCGTTCGCGGTGAAGAAATTCTACCAGCTATCCAGCAAACTTTGGATTTGAACTTGAAGATAAAATAGTATATTTTGATGATCTGTATGATGAATTATGTAAGACCGTTTGGAAGAATATGCAGTCTGACTATCAGATTGACTATTGCATCACACACAAAGACAAAAAGAATACAAAATATGATTTCGACTCATTCCAAGCATACCGAGATATCCTCCAAATTTTGAAGCAACGGATTATTGAACTTGTAAGTTGATTCCGAGAACAATTAGTTATTTATTAATATCTTTACAAGTAGCTAAAAAACAAAAATCATAATTTGGACATGAATTTATGTACGAAGTTGAACATCAGCGACAAATGTTCTTGTCAAATGGTTATTTCTCTTCGTCTCGTGATCGAGAAAGGTCTACAGCCAGTTATAGAAACTACTGTAACAACGATGGCCGCCACATTGACTAATTACAATCTGTTTGGATATTACAAGATGGATTATCTTTTTTTGTTGGGAGATCCTTTTAATTTAATTTATGGCTCACCTCTTTATAATGTGTACACCACAATACTTCAAAGAGTGATGGATGATGGCATAAGTCAAAAGAAAAAGATACCCAGGCATTTGTGATGAAGAATTTACTTGAACAGTTATTAGATTTGTTTAATATTATCAAGCCGAATATGTTTAACAGATTCATCCATGGAACATTGTGTCAGGTGCCAAACAGTACATATCTAATTTGGGTTTGGAGCCTTAATTCCGATCCTTTTTTTCGCGTGAATCGTAATGGTAATATCAGATATTGTGTAAAAGGGGATTTTGGTTCTCTTATTTACATTAGAAAAGGAGAGCCAATATCGACAACGGGAACGTTTATCAAAACAATGCATATTGAGCAAGATCAGTTATGTGTTTGTACGTTTTTTTTTTTTTTTTTTTTTTTTTTTTTTTTTTTTTTTTTTGCTGTTCTAAAGGAAGACATTCTAACTTTTTACACAAACGCCTTTTTAGACATTTTAAGAGCCATACAGTCATATGACACCAAACGCAAAAAATGGGATCTGTCACAAAAGTTTGCAGAAGGCGCATTTTTTCAGGTGATGAACAGTAACCGACACCTTGCAGCCTATGATCTCATCGTAGAGTGTAAGCACCTCAACTATAATTATTCTCTAGAATTTACAATGATAAATATGGCCAGTTATTGGAATGATAGGTATACAGATAAATCGTGGGTTTTAGGAGAGCCATTAACCTTAGCTTATATTTGAATAGAAATAAAAGCAAGTTGAATAAAAAAGCAATTTTTTTGACACGCAAGTCTTAATTTAGGTTGTTATTCATAAAACTTGGGAGAGAAAAAGAAACGATTTATACCCCAATTGTTATTTTAGCAAGAAATTGTAGATTTTTATGTGACAAAAAAATGATATACTTAAAATTGAAAAAGATAAGAAAATAATAGACGATTAAGATGATCATGGTGAATGCTGATGGTGTTGAGATTGTTGAGATGAGCGAGTAGCTTGTTACATAATTCTTTGAGAACATTGTCTAGTGTTGTGTCCTGGCTGTCTAAAAGTTCTACAGAGCCTTGTTCTTCTTCTTTCGGCATTTTCAAAAGCGGAAGGATTTCTTCTGTTTAAAGAAGTGTCATTCCTTCTCGCAGTGGAACCGATAGCATTGTAAACCGTACTATGGACTTCAAATTTGACACCTCATGAAAATTTAATGAATAACATACAACAATCTCCTTATTACTCACATTGAAATATTTTGTGATAAATCCTCTGGATTCCGTGTATTTTCACTAGGTGTACGTCTGCTTCGTACTTTTTTTTTTTTTTTTTTTTTTTTTTCGCATAAGGTTGAATGTCCGCACACATCACCATATGATCTTTTTACTAGGAAGCATACATACTCATCAAACACATTTACTGGTGATGATCCACAACTCAAGTTGCACCACACAGCTGCAGCGTCACTAGATAAAGTGGCCCATTCTTTATGACTACTACAAAACCAAAACTATTCTATCTATCAAATGCAATGCGTGGTTTTTGCTAGGCGATTATGCGAATTGATATCGATGGAAGGTTTGATTCAAGGCAATCTAAACGGCATCTAGCATCTTTTGCGTATGCCTCTGAAATGTAAATATGCGGACTCTCACTTTCGTATGGCTGTAATGATATAAAACATATATAAATGCAAATGACAGTAGCTGGTTATAGAGACTGATTGCTTTTTGTTTTGTTTTTGTTTTATTTAATTTTTTTGACTGGCCATTTGAAAGATATTCCAGTGCTCCAATCTAATAAAAAATAATCAGTCAAAACATGCTGTACTTAATACCGAATAAATAACTTACTCTGGGGTCAAATAAACATATGTTACGAGGTATTTAAATACGTTGACGGGGGGCTTAAATTAAAAATTAGAATATTGCGTATAGATTGTTATTAGATTACTTACAGGCACAAGTGGGGGAATGACCATGGGTTCTTTGAGGCTCAAGTAAACCTCCAACACATGCAATATAATCTGTAATATAATAATTGAAAAAACAAAAACATCATTAAAAAGACACTATATACCTACCTCAGCATCTGAAGGCATACCAGCCGACTTGGGGGTGAAGCGGAAGCTAGCCAACTTGTTGCTTTTCGATAAATCTATATTTTGGGAACCCGATCAGAAAAACATAATCCTTTCTTTACTGCGAACCTTTTAATTCAGCTTACCCAAGATACGGTTTTTCACGTAAGTCATACTTTCTTCGTCGGTGTGACCTTGCAATGCAAGAAAATCCACAACTTCTGAAACTTTGAAATCCGCATTGTCCTAAAATATAAATGTTAATATGTAAAACTCTCTCAATCCATGTCATTATTTTTACGTTAAAACCGGGGATTATTAAGGAGAGGGCAATGGTAACAGAAGGTGACTTCACCAGACTTTGGTTCTTTTTCGCAAACATGACATCAAAATGTTCAATGGCTTTTGCCAAGGGTAAGAACATTTTTTCGTATAAGACCTTCAAAAAAAAAAAGAGTTGATTAACATGCCTCCAAATAATTTATACAATCACACTTACGAGAAGAAGTCTGTCATAGAAAATGCTGGAGCAGCGATCGTTGAATTTGGTCCAATGTTTCTTTAGTTCAAGAATCTAAGTATTGTATTGTTAATATATTATTGATCTACTCGAGTATCTATTCATTCTTGTGTTTACCTGTTCGATTCTGAAGTCGGCAACTAATTCTTCTGTTCTATTCATGTACCACATAATGCGGTGTCTATGTGCAGATGGCCGAAGAGGGGGCTTAATGCATGGTACAAACTTAAGCTTGGGTACTGCAATGTTCAATGTACTGCTGGGAGCTACTAAATTGGTTAAAGAGGAAAAGACTTTCTTTGGTGAGATGTCGAAAGAAGAGTTGAATCCTGTATTAAATATGCCCGTAAGACTTGGTGAACAAGAGGTTGTGAGACCGGGAACAGAAGTACTGGAAGCTGGAATTTTGGGGGCGACTGAAATGGGATTAATAATTTTCTTCCTGATAAAGCTTAAGAAATCGGAAAACATATGGTTTGATTGTTGTCCCTTTGGAGCGGGTGTGGGCGTATTGGGTACAACAGGTTGTTTTCCCAGTAAGAATTCTATACGAAAATGTATATTTTAGTCTTTTTAATAAAGATATGTCTAATCATTCAACGTATACTACCATATAATACTGAGTTTGCTGTTTTAAAAAAGTTTGTTGAGAGAGGTCCAGGTTCTGAGGCAGTAATGTTTAATAAAAAAAAGTTACTTTCTCAAAGTTTCTACTTACTGAAAAAATAAACGTCATAAGGAACCTTAACCTTAGCAAAGTGTGAGTTGATCGTTCCTTTGTAAATTGACCAAATATTGTGAATGCATAACAGAGAAAGCAATATTTCTGAATGGGCTTTGATTAGAACTACGCTTTAGTAATTCAATTATTCATACTCTTACCTAAACATTGAGTTAACATCGCGTCGAAGATATATGTGAGAGGCCAAATGTTAAAAGAGAAGATCCAATAATTGAGTACGACCATGGCCAGTAATACTGCACCATTAGTTTGCACAATACAAGCGTTATAGGACGTGTAAGGCATAACGAGTTATATGTATAAAAAAAGAAGGAGAAAAATTTCAAAGCGTGTTTATTCTATTTGTTTTTTTAAAAAAAAAAAAAACGTTACTGTTCATTTTTGCAGTGTGTGTGTAACGAGTACGTTCTTGCATGGTCACACAAGAGTTACTTTGCTAAAATTTGGAAGAGCTGTCATGCGTCCTGACTTGGTCCTGTACATGGATCGAAAAGTTCTGCTCACCAAAATGAGTTCTAATATCAAATACCATTTTGAGAAAACGAGGAAATGCTGCAAGTGATGGTGTCCCTTTTACTGCTTAGAATGTTGCCAACGAAGATTATGTCACAAGGCTTTTAAACCGGGATCAAGCATTCAAGACATTTTCGGGACTTCGTTCATCTTCTGAGTATTGGAAAAATGAAAAGAAAAATTGTATGGCTATGATAAGCATAATGTACAAAGTCTCCAGGTACACTTGGATCAGATCGTCAACGACCCCGTATATCTATCATCTGATGTATTCCTCTTCAATGAAACATGGACATTACCAACAGATAATTTTACAATTCCCGGTTCTAAATTGGTTTCGGCTTTTAATTGTATAGATGGTGTACGTAAGCCCATAGGCAGTTGCTGTTACGTCTCTAGCTCGATATTAGGAGATCATACTTTTTCAACAAGGCTTTTAACAGTAATAACTCCTCCTCCTACTCCTCCTCTGTAAGTGTGTCAACTGTCACGTTTAATTATACTCTCTACTGTAGCATTTATGCGTCTCTTGATCCTTGCCAAAACCTTGACCTACTGCTAGAAGCATTAGAATTTATAATTCAACATCTATACATATTCATTGTAATTGCGGGTGATTTCAATTTTTTTTTTTATGTGATGGACTTCAAATTTGACACTTGATGAAAATTCAATGGATAACATACAACAATCACCTTACTACTCACACTAAAATTCTTTGTGATAAATCCTCTGGATTCCGTGTATTTTCACTAGCTGTACGTCTGCTTCGTACTTTTTTTTTTTTTTTTTTTTTCGCATGTGGTTGAATGTCCGCACGCATCTCCATATGATCTTTTTACTAGGAAGCATACATACTCATCTAACACATTTACTGGTGATGATCCACAACTCAAGTTGCACCATACAGTTGCAGCTTCACTAAATAAAGTGGCCCATTCTTTCTGACTGCTACAAACCCAAAACTATTCTATCTATCAAATGCAATGCGTGATTTTAGATAGGCGATTATGCGAATTCATATCGATAAAAGGTTTGATTCAAGGCAATCTAAACCGCATCTAGCATCTTTTGCGTATGCCTCTGAAGTATAAATATAAAGACTCTCACTTTCGTATGGCTGTAATGATATAAAACATATAAAAATGTAAATGACAGTAGCTGGTTATAGAGATTGCTTTTGTTTTGTTTTTTTGTTTTATTTAATAATTTTTAATTGGCCTTTTCAAAGATCTTCCAGTGCTCCAACCTATATAATAAATAATCAGTCAAAACATGTTGTGTTTAATGCCGAATAAATAACTTACTCTGGCGTTAGATATACATATGTTAAAAGGTATTTAAATATATTGACAGGGGGCTAAAATTTGAAATTAGAATATTGCGTATAGATTATTATTAGATTACTTACAGGCACAAGTGGGGGAATGGCCTTGGGTTCCTTTAGGCTTAAGTAAACCTCAAACAAATGCAACACGATCTGTAATATAGTAGTTAAAAAACCAAAATCATCATTAAAAAGACACTATGTACTTACATCAGAATCAGAAGGCATACCAGCCGACTTGGGGGTGAAGCGGAAGCCAGCCAACTTGTTGCTTTTTGATAAATCTATATTTTGGGATCCCGATCAGAAAAACATAATCCTTCCTTTACTGCGAACCTTTTAATTCAGCTTACCCAAGATTCGATTTTTTACGTAAATCATAATTTTTTCGTCGGTGTGACCTTGCAATGCAAGAAAATCCACAACTTCTGAAACTGTGAAATCAGCATTGTCCTAAAATATAAATGTTAATATGTCGAACTCTCTCAATCCGTGTCATTATTCTTACATTAAACCCAGGGATCACCAAGGAGAGGGCAATACTGACAGAAGGTGATTTCACCAGACTTTG